ACCGATTTGCTAGTCGTCTGCTTTTTGTCTGTGATTCCACAACCAAACTTTCATTTTTGGTTGACACTGGAGCCGAGGTTAGCGTTCTGCTTCGGGGAATGGAAAAACGCTACCTCCTTTCCACAGGACCTACTCTCCAGGCGGCTAATAACACAAAAATCCAAACCTAGGGTCAGCAACTGCGGACTCTCGATCTTGGCTTCCGACGAATATTTTCTTTGGTCTTCTGATCGCGAATGTTCAGCGCCTCACCAAATTTGGTATTATTGTCGACTTACGCAACAGGGAACTTCGTGATAGTACTACCTCGCACACCACGGTGGGCAGAGCCACTTCGATCAGCTCGCTCGGACTTCGCATGACTCTACCCACTAACACGGTGTTCACTGAGCTACTCCAACAGTACCCCGCGTTGTATCCAGTAAAATAATTGTCCTGAACCTAAACACGAGATGGTGCACCACATTGTTACTCATGGACCACCGCTCACATCTCGACCTCACCGACTACCACCCGAGGAACTAAAGCCAAAGCCGAGTTTGAGCACATGATCCGTCTTGGTACTGTCCGGCCTTCTAATAGTCCATGGCCTTCACTTTTGCACATGGCTCCCAAGAAATCTTGTGGAGATTGTCCACTTTGTGGTGACTACCGCACATTTAATAATGTTACTGTCCCAGACAGGTATTCGGTACCACATATTCACGACTTTTCTATCGGTTTAGACGGTAAATGATTTTTCTCTAATATTAACTTGGTCCGGGCATATTACCAAATCCCTGTCGCCCCAGATGACATTCCCAAGACAGCTATAATCACCCCCTTCAGTCTTTTTGGATTTTTCCGATTGCCTTTTAGATCACGGAACGCCGCACAAACCTTTCAACAATTCATCGACCAAGGTATTCGTGGACGACTTTGTTTTTGCTTATATTGATGACATTTTCGTGGCCAGCTCTAACGACGAGGAACATCTATTCCATGTTCGCTAATTTTTTGAGCGTTTCGATCATTACGGCGTCATGATCAACGTGGACAAATGTGTCTTTGGCCAGTCCAGTGTAGATGTTCTCGGTCATCGAATCGATCGCAACGACATCAGTCCACTCTCGGAGAAAACAAAGGCAATCACAAAGTATCCGATGCCGCAGTCTTCCAAAAGCTTGCGCCGTTTCCTCAGTGTAGTGAATTATTACGGCCGCTTTATGCTTGTTTGCTCTAAACTGCTTCAACCTTTAACTGACTTGCTTAAAGGAAAGACTCGGAAGCTCAAACCCACGAACGAAGCACTAGACACTTTCGACAAGATTAACCATGCGTTGTCCAACGTCAATGCGTGGAGCCATTTATTTACTGACGTTAACACACCTCTCGTTCTTAAAACCGATGTTTCACAGACCGCAGTTGGAGCCGTACTACAACAACGCATCAATGGTCATCCTAAATCACTATCTTTTTTCTCCCGTAAATTACAACCTGCACAAGCAAGGTATAGTACCTTCGGCACAGAACGTTTTGTTCATCTATATCGCGACTACACACTCGATACCTTTTCATTTACCATGCTTGCTGATCACAAGCCACTTGTCGTTGCCTTCCGCGGTTCTTCGAACCGTTTTCCCCTCGTGAAACCCGACACCTTGATTACATATCGCATTTACAACTGACATCCGTCATATAGACGCCACTGACAACGTGGTAGCCGACGCAATGTCCCGCATTCGACTTCACGAACTTTCGCGTCCGGCAATCGATCTGAAGGAAATCGCTGCTCATCAGGAGGGAGATCCTGACGGGTCAACTGATTCTCTATGCATAAACAGCGCAGCGACTGGAATGTGCATCATCATCATTATGCATGTTAGCTGCTGGTGGAAAACACTTCATCTACTGTGCCACAGTAAATTAGCGAAGAAAAATTACATGAAACAGAGATACGCCCGCTGAGCCCCCACTAACGGATGGACATCGTTCCGGAGAGCTGACAACTGGTAGGTGTGCTGCGTCCGCATCCATTCGATTAACTAACACAGCCAAATGAGGCGATTGATGTGGTATATGTGCCACATCGTCGTTGCAACTGGTCTTTACATGTACCTGCGCGTTCGGTTTCTTGAATTGCAGGGATTGGTTATTGATTGATATCCCCGGTGTGCCTGCGCTAGATGTGAATGTTGACAAGGTGTCTGTCTATTACCCACCACCACGTCTATACTGGCCCCAGGAGACGGTTGGTCGTTGCTGGAGGCGACGGGGCGCACGGTCCTCGAGACGAAGCTAAGAAAAATAAGTGGTTCTGTGCATCCAGCGTGGAACGGGTAACAGCCCATCCACCGTCTTGTGTACCTCTGGTACGCATGAATGTCTCCGCTCTGGTTGTTGAAGGAATGTGGGCCGGCTCTGTCAATGAAACCTGGCTCCCATCCACATGCCTCCCGGTCATATTTCTTCGGGTTTACATTAGATATGGGGTCTGTTGACGGAGCTGTAGGTAGTGCAGCGCAAGTCATTCATGGTCCCTCTGTAGGCACAGGCGTCCTGTTGCTGTCTAAAGAGGCCGCAGTGACAGGTAAATCCGGAATCGGATGCCGCCAAACACATCTATGTAAAGGCAATGTATTGAGAACCATGGCAAGAAAGGAAATAATAGTAGCGCAGAAATAGACACACACACGCCTTTATTTTTCCGATGGTGTCAGGCTATACGATAGAAGAACACTGAAGCCACTGATGTCTGTTGAAAGCCATCATGATGCTTTACATTAGCTGGGGAAAAGAAACACACTAGCTATTGTACTGCAGTCTGCGCAACGAGACTGGACCGTAACGTGGTGCGACGGTTTGCGTATCCCATTGACCCATTGAGCTATACTGGGCGATGCCTATGGGCATCTTGAGAGCTACTCCTACCAGGTTGGTCAATGGTGAGAGGTCAGACAAACTCAGTCCCTTGGTCCTCCAGGTTGGGGGTTTGAAATCGGATGGCGTCCATTTCTGTAAAACTAAATCATTCCACCTCCCCGCTGCCTTGCGGACAGGCTTTTGAGCCAAAGGCATTGGATGAGGACCCTAATCGTCCTGCTGCCTAGGTCTGGGCGCCCTGGTAGTATATCAGCCCACATACAACCATGACATCGTCTTCAAACATGAACTTCATCCTGCATCCGCCATCGCACAGATTATCAAGGATCGCCTTATCTGCTGCATACAGCAGGGCGGATAAGCGAAAACATGCTAATAATGGCGCCTCCCTCCTTTCATTTTCCACCTTCTTCTCTTACTCTCATCCCGACCCTCATTACTAAGCTTCCTTCTATAATTCCCAGCTTAATTGACAGCAACTGAAGTGCCACTGGAGTAGAAACAACTGCAGCCACCATTCCACAACACCTATCGGATGCCTATCGCCAACAGTCCCTTATAAGGCCACGCTATCCCGTTTCTATGGCGACATTCAACGTTCGCACTCTAAGACAAACAGGTCAACAGGCTGCACTCGCACGCACCTTGGACACACTGGGTATTGATGTGTGTTGTGTGTCCGAAACTAGGATCAATGACCCTAACAGGGTTATTGAATTGATTGCACCCGGCTTATGCTCTCGTTATTGGTTGCACGAATCCGGAGACGCCGATGCAGCACTCACGGGTCAAGCTGGTGTAGGTATCATCCTAAGCTTTAAGGCTGAGCCATCTTTGGTTGATTGGATTTCGTTTATGTGCAGCCCGTTTGACGAGATCAGCTAAGGTTGATTCACAAAGTAGTACAAAACGCTGTTTGTGATTTCCGCTTATGCTCCCACCGACTGCATTCCTGATGCTGCCAAGGATGCACTCTAGCACGAACTGAACGCGCTACTACGCAGTGTTACTAGTTCAAATATTATATTACTTGCAAGGGATATGAACGCAAAAGTAGGGCACCTGAGCTCTTCAGAAGATCAGCTGGGTGGTAATTATGGGCTTAACTCCGAACGGACTGACAACGGTGAGCGTCTGCCACAATTCTGTGTGGAGCACCAGTTGTTTCTTAGCAGCACTGCTTTTAGACACAGTGTGCACCGAAGTGCCACTTGGCGTCCTGCTGTAGCTGGACAGCGATGGACGCAAATTGACCACATAGCCATAAGTTACAGATGGCGTGGTTCCATCCTGGATTGCAGCTCGTACTGGAGTACCTGTGTCGACTCTGATCATGCCTTGGTTACGCTGTCATTAGGGTTCTCAACTAGAACCTTTGGTACAAAAAACCTTACCACAAGGCAGTGGGGTTTTGGCACTGGACTACAGACAGCTCGTTTTATGCAGTAAGGAGCCACCCTCATTCCAACCCCCAACCTAGAGGGACACGAGGCTGTTTGTCAGGCCTCTAAGCATTGACCGATCTGGTATGAGTAACACTGGAGGTGCAGAAAAGCCCCACCCAGTATAGCACAATGGATGTCTGAGGCACGCAAACCATCGCACTACGGTAAGGTCTAGCCTCATTGCGATGGTGGTTTTTGAGATGAAACAGATGTCCACCGAGAGCGTCTCTGTAGAGCGGGTCAGACATGTTTGCCGTCCGATCTGCATTAGAGTGCGAATATTGGTCGACGATAGGCCGAATGGGAAACCAGGTCGAAGAAAAGTCGGGGCTTCGGGGGAGTGTGAAAAGTTGTGATCACCCGGCATGGAACATCAAGAGTTTGAGTATTACTTCATCAGGTTGGACCAGTTTGCCGTTTGTGGCGGTGACGGGAGAGGATACTAGTCTAAATGCAGTTGAAGAACTGGACGTACGACGACCTGGGGGTGAAAGTTCAGCAATGAAGACAGTAGAGCCAGCAGACATAGCAAGATCGGGCAATACTTAATGATCCATACCGTCTGAGCTAAACTAATGAAGCCCTTGGAACTGTTTTCACCCAAGTGGCCTACATTAAATGCCTTTCTTTAGCGGAGGGTCACTAAATTTCCCTCTTGAATACATTTTATGGTATTTGAAAATACGAGTACGATAAAACTTCTGAGGTTGATTTATTTCGCAAACATGTATAGCTTGCATTCAGTGGATTCTTTCATACATGTATTTGAAATTGGCTACTCATGAGTAGTGCTCACCTCTCCCTCGTATATCTGAGTTTCGGCGTCGGTGCCGATTTTGGTTGGTACGTATTCCGGTGATGGAGGTCGGTCAAGGAAAGCATCTGTCTGACATTGTAGTTCAGCCTCCACAGTGATATCACTGAGCTCCTCCAAATACAATTCCGTTTGTACTGGTTGGTGCAGGCGACCCTCTAACGGTGGTACTGATGGCAGGCGAAGCTGAAAATAAAAAGTTACCATGGAATAAACCCACTTACAAACATGACTTAAGCCAAACCAGATTATCAATAAATGACAAGCCTTACAACATGTTCACTAGCTCGTAGATGACAACTGAATCATGGGAGTTTGCCTGACCTCACAATCCGAAAGGTAAAGATGTCTCCGTGCACAAGGAGGATGTACGTACTGACAATAGGGAATGCTGGAGCCTGGAGAACACAATCATTTAGTAAAAGCGCGTTGTCTTCCCTCTACGAACTTATGTAGTATGAACGGTATTGAACAGGCACGTTATAACTTCACTGTCTTGGTAGTTATGAAAAACACAGTTAGTGCAAAGAAGTTGGGAACCTAGGAATATTTACCACATGTCTTCTATGTGCCAAATGTAACGTGCGCTTACATGTTCAAGTAGGTTGACAATAAGTGGAGCCATGAGAAGGTTTTCACTTATTAGTTTGCTTACAGCAACCAAGATGTAATATAAATGAAGCACAAAAATCATACAAACACTCGAGTTTGGATAAAAATTTTGGATTTAAACGGCACTACTAAATAATTGTAATCCAACGAAGGTATTATCGGCGTCAAAATGGTTGTTTTGAAAGTAACGCCTTTCTCTGAATAATTGGTGCACATACTCACTAGTCTACCATTTACCGCATGGAGCTTCCCATTTCCATCCCTGGAGATGTTTTATCAGTGTTAAGTTAGGATTCGATTGATCTGCGCTGAGATTTGACCGACAACTCAACCAATACTCATGGGGACGGACAAACTACACGCTTATAAATGTACGCCCATGAGGAATATTTTCGCAGCCTTAGTGCAAGATTTCCAAAAGCTCCATTTCTGCAGACCTTATATCGTCGCTGCTGTCCGCATGGTAGACGGCTATTCAATAACTAAATTCAGAGGTGAATAAACCTGTGGGCACTGTTTAGTCAATTTTTACTAGGAAGGCTACCTGGCGGACTACAAATGATTCCGTTTCTTGGTTATTGCGTCGTAACGAAAATACACCTTCAAAATCAACAGTTAGGATGGTGCACAACACCAGGCCAGAAGAGATGCATGTAGATTTGTCGAAATTCGGTGATAAGGTGAGCAGCCGAAACTATCACCATTTTCCTGATCTGACATTAAGATCAAAGCGCAACTGCTCCAGGTTATACACGTGGTACCTGTTCTGTACACTTTAACCACTGGAGCCGCTCCGTTATGGCTCCATTTTCAAAGTAGACTCGCGTTCGGAATGTGGCAACCATAGTGGAATCAGTCTGATCCCCATCGCCTCCAAATTAATTGCCTCTGTATTCCTTCACAGACTGAATGGTGCTCGTGAAAGCCAGATTCGTGAGGAGCAAGCCGAGGTTTCGTCGGGGTTGTGGCTGCATCGACCACACCTTCACTTTGCGTCAATTGTTGGAGCACCGTTACACATCGGCGGCCCACCGTAGTCGTGTTCCTCGACATCAAAGGTGCCTTCGATTCGGTTGATCGATGTGCCCTTTGGGACTGTGTACTCAGAGAAGGTGTGCCCGAGAAATATGCAAATATTATTCCAGCATTATGTGCGCGTAGCACGGGCAGAATGAGGGCTTACGGAAAGTGGTCGCTGCCCTACAATATCTCCAGCGGTGTGAGACAAGGATGCCACTGTATCCTTTCCTCTTCAATTTCACTATTGACGAACTCATGGAAACCGCGTTCACAGGACACAACTTAGAAAGTGTGGAGCTACTCCCAAGAGAACGACTTCTTGACTTAAAGTATGCTGACCATATGGCCCTCATTTGTGACAGCTCTCAGACGTGCCAAGCTGCACTGGACAGATTAACACTGGCTGTCCGTCACTTCGGGTTTTGCTTTGCACCATCAAAGTGCAAAGCTTTCCTGCAAAATTGGTAAGGATCGCCTCTTACACTGACCCTTGCTGGGGATCAGCAAGAAGTCGTGAAGAAATTCAACTACCTGGGAAGTTGTATCAGCGCCTTTGGGACGAGATCACGGACCGTATAGCAAAAGCTCGAGGTGCTTTTGTTAGTCTTCGCCACCTATGGCACCGGCGGGACTTCACTCTCGCCCTGAAGGGTAGAGTGTACAATGCAGCGGTACGTTCGACCTTACTGTACGGTTGCGAAATCTGGCCCCTAAGATCAGCGGACATGAAGACGCTAGTTACGTTCGACCATCGGTGCCTTCGCAGTTTGGCTCACATCTGGTGGGAACACCGTATGAGCAACGAGCGTGTTTGATGACTTGTTTACGGCACAGGAAGAGGAACTGAACTGTTCAGCACCGTCATTTCTTGCACCAGGCTCCGATGGCTGGGCTACGTGTTGCGCATGTCAACCCACCGACTCCTGCGACGTGCGTTGTTTTCTCACCGGATTGTGTGTGGAAGAAGAGGAAAGGTGGCCAAGCGATGATTTGATCGAGAGGAAAGGTCCTCACTTCGGAGCTGGTCTCCATTGTAGCTTCACGGCTCCCTGGTTGGAGTCCAAAATACGATGAACAGGTTTGGCTAGATACACTTGCTGACATGGCTATTAGCCGGCTTTAGTGGTGTTCCTCCTGTTCGTTTCTTTGTCACTCCCTATCCGCTTTTAGCCTCCGCCTCCAACCAGGATCTCATTTCGTAGCATAATTTCATTTTACATCATAATTTTTCTTGTTGCCTAGTAGCAGGCTGCTAGCTTTCCGGAACGATGCCCATAAGTTGCTGGTAGATCAGCTGGCATGCAACTGTTGTATTTATTTTCTTTTTTCTTTTATGTATTGCGGCACAGTAGCTGAGGTGTTTTATACCTCTAGATAGCGTGTATAATGATGACGATAACACTTTAACCACGATGATAATCGCATCGTATTGACAATCTTAAAGCGATCATCTATCATGGATCAATACTCCAAACTTGTTCAGTAATCAGGCCTCTAGTATTAACCACTAGTATACTCTTTGGCAAGATGATGATTTAGTAGAGCATCATACTTTATATTCTTTGTGCTGAAACAACAGCATTGCTCAGGTTTGTCCAGTTACCGCACATCACTTAAAAACTTTAAACAACATGTTGAGTAAGTTATTATTATAAAATACCAAGGCTTAGAAAATTTAGACACGCATGTGCACGTGTGCGTCATATTCCGTACCCGACGAATTAATCATAAGCTATAGCCAAGCATATTCACCACGACGGCCTGAATATGAGTCGAATAAAATAGTTTGCAACTAACAACAGTTCTCCCAGCATTACATCATTGTTAATTATTTCGTAACCAACCGGGTTATTTTTTAAAAATGAAGTAAGAACTAGACCTGCAAGATCAGGTTTGTACTCTCCCACTTTCCTATGGTTCTTTACACTTAGCAAGTAGCGGGTTCAACCCATCCGGACAACACTGGACCTTAACGTGGTGTGATGGTTTGCGTGCCGTAGCTACCCACTGGGCTATGCTGGGCACCTTCAGACCCACTCATAACAGATTGGAAGTAGATAGTAGCAAACAAGCTTGTTTTCAGTGGATCATCATCAGGCTAATACAACCACAACTGTGTAGATCAAAAATGAACACGTGAGTTATAGGCGTCAATAAATCAAAATTTCTCATTAATAAGGCCATGTGATTGCCTAGACATGCGTGTAGTCGGGGGGAATGGTGTGACAGATCTGCTTACTTGTTTTAGTCTGTGGCCATGGTAGACAGTGGGTCTGCACAAAATTCTTCTGTGCACACAACTCCGGGTTATGGAGCCGAATTCCGACTTCCGTTGTTGTCGACAGCAGACGGCATCTGACAGCTCGTGTGTGGCATCCTCTTACACAGTAGATCGGTTAGAATGAATTATTTGAGTTTATTTTGTGGTCAGAATTCACTAAAGCTGACAATACTGCACTGGTCACATTTTTCTCACACCCCTGTATAGCCAAGCGGGACAATACTCTCGAGCTCTTACGGACAATCGCTTGGTCATTTTTCTAATTTACCATACTCGACTCGAGCAAGAGGAAGTGTACACACAAAAGGAAATTTTTGACCGGGGTATCCGGTCTTTGAGATGCTGACTCACAATTAGTGTTGAGATAACGCTCACACGTCAGTCGGCCGGAACGTACGTCTTGACAGTGGCTAGGGTAAGCTTTCGGGTGTTTCCCTACGCTATTACGTCACTATCAAACGGTAAGTATCTTAAGCACTTCTTTGGGGAAACAGATTTCATCTTCTGTGCTTGCAGTTCAATGTGTTTTTAGACAAATTTTTCTGGGTATCCATTACGTTCGAAAGCCCTTCGGATGAAAGTTGGCTCATAAGAAAGCTTATCTTCGGTGCATATTCGTCTCCCTCTCTCCGTAAGACCACGGACCAGATTACGCTTCTGGCTGATTAGAACAAAAGTATGGAAGTGGGTGTATTGCCCAATCCAAGTTCCCCTTCTGTGCACTCTCCTCTGCATTATCCTCTCAGCTGCCCTATTAATCTGGACGCCTAGAATGGCCAAGGAGTCATCACTTTCTAGCTCGAGAGTAAACGTTCTGTTGTTATGCGCGGAGTTGAAGTGGGGCAGCAGACCTTCAATACACACCCCATCGTCCGCAACACAAAACATATCACACCATAATAAACCAAAATGTTAATGGATTCCCTCAACTTGTCGCTTTGTAATTTGTTCATGAACCCTTCCGCGAGTAACAGGCCTAACGACGAATCCATAGTCACCCCGTCTATTTATAGGTATCTATTAAAATGAAACCGGATATTTTTCCTGCATATCAGCAATAGTTAACTTAATCGATCTTGTGGGATGCAGACGTTAATGTTGTACAACGGGATGAACTGACATATATAGTCTACGGTTTCTTCCAATGGAACTTTGGTGACAAGAGACGCCACGTCTAATGAAAACAGTTTCCGGTTAGTTCAAGGTGCCTCACCGAGTCGAGAAAAGCCAAGGTGTCCTCCAGACTGTTCCTGGCTATGGCTATGGCCCCAGC